TCTCTCTCTCAGAAAAATAAGAATAATGATGATATACTTGACTGGATAATGAAGAGCTTTTGTCTATCACATAAATGTCTTTCAGAAATGGAGAGTTTTTGCTGAAGCTTAAGTAGAGAGCAGAGAAAAGCACCATACCAGTCCCATGTCCAAATGGCCTGCAATAAGTGGAAACAGTTTAGTAAACTTAGAAACACTTCCTGGGAAACATAGGTTCTTTCTCTGCCATTTCAGGAGCCAAAGCAATTTACATGTTTCCTTCCAATTCTCCATTTAAATGTCATTCCATGCTCAAGAACCTCCCATGTCTCCCTATTGCCTATAGGATAGCTTTGTCAGAAATGCAAGACCCCGTGTCACCTAGCCATAAAGTACCTTTCCAACCTAAGCATGCATATTCCCTTCATCACTAAAAGTCAGCAAAATGCCTGATAGCAGAATATCTCATTTCCACCTCATCCCAGCTTAGTGCTCACTCTACAGATAGTAACTGTCATGGTTCCAGCCCTGGTTCCAACCTGGGATTCCGCCTCTAATTTATCAGTGTTCTCTCCACCTAGCAAGGGGAAAGCAGGCTGATGGAGAAATCTGATTGCCCTACAGGCCCATCGTCTTAGCACTGACCACACTAACTTTTTTAAAATATTGGTTTATTTATTTTGTGTTTGCGTGGGGGTGGGGGGAGCATGCATAGTGGTTGAAGAACAACTTTTCAGGGGTTGATTCTCTCCTTCCACCTTGTTTTTGAGGTAGGATCTCTCTTATTTTTGATGCTACATACCCGAGCTTCCAGCCAGTTCTCTTGTCCCTGCTGCTGCTCTTCCCATGAGTGACAAGATTACAGATGCATGTCACTACATTCAGCTTTTCACATGGGTTCCGGGGATCAAACTCGGGTCATCAAGTTTGCACAAGTGCTTTTACGGCCAGGCCATTGCATGCTGAGTCTGCCCTTCTTACCAACTTTCCCACCATTCTTTTTCTCCTCTGTCCCTCTTTACTGCTGAGTGTTTTGTACTCTTGAGGCAACATGGCTTAGTATTAAAACCTTAGGTAACCATCATGGATAAGGCCTGGGTTCAAATGCTGGTTCGACAACTTAGTAATTGAGTAATATGGGAAAGTTCTTTTTCTGTCTATGCCTTGGTTTTATACTAAAGTTATATTGGGGCCTAAAGGCCTGACTTCTGGGTATAAAATGCTGAGGACCACACGTAGCACACCGTAGTCACTAAAGCATGCTGACTACCATTTTCTGGGAATATTGTCTGATGTTATCTACCTTAAATGAAAGTTTTCTATGATGTTTCAAAGTTCTTTTAAACAAACTGCTTCTGTTTATTCTATAATATCTATTTACTTAAGTGAGGGTATGTTTGGGCTTGTTTTTCCAGGTCCTCCACATTTCTGGCAACCTTCTAGGATTCTGTGAACAACCTGGAGGAGTGAGGCAGCCTATATATGAATCCTCTCCAACCCAGCTACTCAGTCCTATTCCTCTAAACAAACCAATGCCCAGCTACCCTCCGCTACTAATTGAAGCCCTCCCCAACCTCAGGGCCCAAGTCTGGTCTGACACTCTGCCTTCCTGAATCTGTGAGTCTCTACAGCCCGTTGTACCTCCAGAGCCCCCTCAGTGTTCAAATGATCTGACTCTCCCTTCACCCAAGCTATAGTTCTGAAGTAGAAACCTGTTCTTCATATCTTCACATGGCTTTGTACAGTCCCTATGAACAAAGTTGATGCCCGATAGTCTTGTGCTGATCACAGTCCTCCTGCCTCAGTCTCTGTAGTGCTGGGATTATAAGCATGTCTGGCCTGATTTCATTTCTTTTTTTTAATTTTAGTTATTTTTATTTTATGTGTATGATTGTTATGCCTCCATGTACGTTAAGTATACCTATGTCGTGCAGTGCCTGCAGAGGACTGAAGAGGCCATCAGATCCTTGGAATTGGAATTATGTATAGTTGTTAACCTCCATGTGAGTGCTGGGATTCAAACCCAAGTCCTCTGCAAGAACAGCCAGCACTCTTAACTGCTGAGCCATCTCTCCAGCTCCTGATTTCATTCCTTAAGAAGGGGAAGAACCAGGCATAGTGGTGCATGCCTGTAATCCCAGCACTTGGGAGGCTGAAGAACCACTGCAAGCTGCAGCTAACCTGGGCTTCATGGTGGGTTTCAGGCCAGCCCAGTTGCAGGAGAGCCTGTCTCAGAAAAACAAAAAATAACAAAGGGGGAACTGGTGCTATGCCATTTCCCTTCATCGATCTTAACAAGATCCTACCATCTAGATCTAGAATGAAGAGGAAACCTAAAAAGCATGTAAGATGCCAAACCTAAGCATAACCTCAAGAGTGAGGAGTGCCTCCCCCAGAGAGGGCTTTTACACGTATAAATGCCGTACTATTCCACCAAAGAGTTTAAATCAAATTAATGAGGACTATCAGTCTTGGCAGGGGCTCACTAGCCAAGTCACAGAGCTTCAAGTCACTGAAGATTGATCAACAAGAAACCATCAGGGAAGGCCCTGCTTCCAGCACCCTGGAAGGTCCGTGGGTCTAAGTTCAAGCTTTTATAAAGTCTCCTTTACTAAAACCATCCAGATTTAAGAGTAACACTACAGAAAGTTCCAGGCCAGGTTTCAACTGGAAAAAGATCAGTTCAGCCTGTCACATCAAATAGTTACTGTCCAGTTGACTTCCTCTACGGTCTCTTATTTGCTTAAATGTCCCCAGTGTACAGGGTTATAAAATTTTCCTGGATAAAAACCCTACAATTCATTAGTTTTTCTCATATCCTCCATTCCCTACTCATTTTCCAGTAATTTTCTGAAGTGATCTATGTTTGCAAAAGACAGTGAGCTCACCACCTCCTGGGCAATGTGTGGCTTAATGTGCAAGCTGGTAGAATGCCTGCATCTTTAACTTACATTCAAGAACCTCTCTCCTGGTGAATTGCAAGTTGGTTTTCATTGCTATAGAAAGAGTCAAGTAGGAAAGGATTTGTCAAGTGGGCCTTACCTGAACATGTTTTCTTATCTGCATTCAGAGTGTAGCCTTCAAAGCATTCACAATGGTAGGACCCAGTTCTGTCATTCACACAAATGTGCTGGCAACCATGTGTACCCAAAGCACATTTGTCCTGAGCTGTCAGACAAAAGTTCAAGAGAACAAAATTAAAAATGAAAGAGTCTTTTATTAGCCACAGATAGAAACCTGCCTATCAACAGCAAGGAACACATAAGAGGAAAACTGACTGGAGGCTATCAAAGCTGTGAGCATTATTTGCTCTAACTAGAAGCTGGCTGAGTTAATACAATCCTATGTGCATGATAATTATTCTCCAACATTGCTTAATTCCTTTGTCAACATAGCCAGTACTGGGTCTTTTAAAATTGAAGAATCTCATAAACAGTGCATTCCTTTCAGTTGTACTGTACCTATCCCAACCCAGAAAGAAACCAACAGTTATTCAGCTAATTACACTTGATCTAGAAGGGAAAAAAAAGAATTAGAATTTGAAGAAATTGTACTTTATCATTCTCCTGCTTCAGAAATGAGATAAGTGAACCCCTGGAAGACCAGCTGATTCCAGGCAGCATCAGAACACAAGGCCCAACTCTATTCAATGCACTTACTTGTGAGAGATAGATGATAGATGATAGATGATAGATGATAGATGATAGATGATAGATGATAGATAGGGAAGGAGAGACAGCTCAAGAGTTAAAGGCTCACAATCAAAACATCAAGATGATAGATAGATAGATAGATAGATAGATAGATAGATAGATAGATGATAGGCAGATGATAGATGATAGATGATAGATGATAGATAGATAGATGATAGAAGATAGATAGATGATAGACAGACAGACAGACAGACAGACAGACATAGGGGAAAGAGAAATAGACAGAGGCAGTGATGATGGAGAAAGAAGGGGAGAAAGGCAGAGAAAGAGATAAAGAGAGAGAAGAAGAGAGAGAAAGAAAAACAGAGAGAGGGAGACAGAGGCAGAAGAGACAGAAACTGTCAGAGAGAGAGGGAAAGATGGATGGGTAGATAGATGTAGATGATAGATCGATAAATAGGTGATAAATAGATAGATATGATACATAGATAGATGATAGATATAGATGATTCATAGAAAGACAGGTAGATAGATGATAGAAAAACCACACATACTATATATATATATATATATATATATATGGATTTGGAGGGTCTTGCTATGTAGCCCAGGATGGCACAAAACATGATCTTAAGCCTCTTAGGTGCTAGAATTTTAGAAGTGTACCACCACACCCAGAAAGAAAGGAAGAGACTTGTACTGACTGTAACCCAGGTTGACCTGGAATTTATAGTAACCCTCTTGTCTCTGTCTCCCAAATTCTGGAATTACAGCCATAAGCCACCATGCCCAGCTTTATACTAATTTTTTTTGCTTTTAACCTTTCCATTTTGGGATCATTTCAGATTTTTGAAAAGCTTACTTCATCTATTCCCCAAATGCTAGCACCCTTAATAACTCTAGTATGCTTAGCATTGATAGAGTATTATTTGCTAATCTACACACTTCATTCAAATTTTTTCAATTCTCATAATGTTCGTTTTCTGGTCCAGGATCCAATCCAAGATCCCATATTACATTAAGTTGCCGTGTCTTCTTAGTCTCTTCCAGTCTGAGAAATTTCCTCAATCTGTCTTTGTTTTTATGGCCTTGACACATTTTTAAAAGACTGTAAAATTTTGTGAACTAAGAACCTCTCCCCCCTTTGAGTCTGTCTGATGTCTCCTCATTATTCTGAATTTTTAGCAAGAACAGCACAGATGTGCTGTCATGTCAAATGATGTTGTCACTAAGGACATCTCTGATGTTTTCATTGATTTCTTTCATTATTTGGTTAAGGTAGTGTCCGCCAGGTTTCTCCACTTCAAAGTTACTGTGCTACCCTTCTGTTGGGTTTGGGGGGAGTTTCCCTGCCAATGCATGCATGTTGGCTTGGTTTTTTGAGTCAGGGTTTCATGTTATCCAGAATGACCTTGAACTCACTATGTAGCTGAAGATTACTCATGATCCTTCTGCTTCTACCTGCCAATCATGTTTTCCTTTGCAAGCAGTAGGTGTCTTTTGGGGTGTTATTTGATACGAACTTACTAAACTGTCTAGCATTTTGGAAGGACTGAGTTCCAAGAGAAATGAGCCACACATTTACACATGCAGTACATCCACATTGCCATTTCTGATTTTTTCAAATAAAACTGAGAAATGGAAAATCCCAGAGTGGCAAGGGAGGAAAATTGGGCTGATTCCTAGCCATATGCCCTCCTTTGCCAACACTGGGAAGGCAGCTAGCCCACTCACCTGCACAGGTTTTCCTGTCTGCATTCAAGGTGTAACCTTCATAGCACTCGCAGTGGTAAGAGTCAGTTCTGTCATTCACACATATCTGTTCACACCCATGAGTGCCAAGGGCACACTTATCAATAGCTGTCAAAAGATGAGCATGATGAATGGGAATGCACGGAAGGAAGGTGTAAACAGATCGGTATCATCAGCCACATTAACACACATACAAGAGTGTGCAGAATTAATGGGGGAGGTAGGGACAGAAAAGGACACTGATGGAATTCGGAGCCCACTTTCTACTCTTGGTGCCTTCACCAACAGACCTAGTGATATAGGTAAGCCTCTTTCCCTACCTTGCATCTCAATTTCATTATTTATAAAATGAATAGTTTGAACTAAGTGATCTCTGTTTTCTTCTTTACAAAAGCTCTTCATGATTGAAAAAGAGAAGAATATAATTATTCTTCATTAACTCTATGTGATATTTAATAGCCAGGAAGCAGGGTTAGTAGTATTTTCCTCTATCTCTAGAGTCCATGAGCATGGATTGTCATAGAGAGGGGAAGGATGTGTATATCTAATGAAATAAAACCCAGGAAAAATGCCAAATCTTTAAAAGAATCAAGGGTTCAGGATCTCTTTTTTCTTGCCTCTTCTTTTATCATGCTTTTCTTTTATAATAGTAACAAAGGGAAAACACAAGAATAGTAGCAAGGGCTCTCTCTAAGTGATCATCCCACAGAGATAGCTACAAATTCATGTTATGACTGCCGCATTCACAGTAGCCCGGAAATGAGCCAAGCTAGATGTCCATCAGCAGATGAATGGATAAAGAAAATGTACACATACACAATGGGATTTTATGAAGCCACAAAGAAAACTGAAATCGTGATATTTGCAAGAAAATGTATGCAACTGGAAATTACTGTTAAATGAGAAAAGGCAGGCTCAGAAAGGCACTGCATGTTTTCTCTCATACGAGAAACCTAAATTTTAAATTGTTTGTGTTTGTGTGTATGTGTTTGTGCATCACAAAACTAGAACAGGATTATAAAACAGGAGGAAGAGATCTTAAGGGAGGTGGGAAGTAGAGGATAATGCAGTACATGCAATAGGAAAGCAAAAGGGGGCATCAAAGTACAGAAAGAAAGGGAACCAGCTGAAGGGGGAGAGAGGACACTGGGGATGGCAGCAGGGGAAAGGAAAAAATGAGAACTACATATAATGACATATATGAAGATGCCATGATGAAACCCATTGCTTTGTACACTAAAATTAATTTTTTTTTAAAAAAAAGGGGGGGTTAGTAAGAAGGCCTGTGCTAGGCTGCTTTGAGTACCTGCCCACTTTTCTCCTGTGTTCCTTGTCAAGGAAAACTGTTGATAAGCAGCAGTAAACTAGCCAAAAGGCACTCAGGAGAAAAGGGGTTGGAATCAAAGACTAAGGCAAGCCCTATCCTTGGAAAACAGCATTCCCCACCACCCCCACCCCCGCCAAGAACAACTCCTAGTCAGCCACCATCCCCTGAACAGACCTCACCTGAACATGTTTTCTTGTCGGCATTCAAGGTATACCCCTGGCTGCACTCACAGTGGTGCCTGCCGTCCCCATCACTGATACACACATGCTGACACTGGTGTGTTCCCAACACACAAGGGTCCAGAGCTGAGCAAAGAGCAAGCACAGAGGTGATGTCAATGCATAAGAACCACTTCAGACACTTCCATTCTGAAAGATACTACTTGCCACGTTCCCTTCTGATTCTATCTTGATTTCACTATAGAAAAATTGGAGACTTCTTTTCTGCCTGTGGTTTATTAGATATTTGACTAGAGGTATTTCAACTTTTGAATTGTAGATCTTGCCATATTCCTTCTCAAAGGAGAAAGGGAGCTTTCATTTTGGAGCTGTGAAATCAAACATTTCCATGGGCCATGCACCTTGGCATTTTGTTTGGCTGATTCATTTACCCATGAAATAGATTCTTGCTTCTCAGCCATAACAGACATGGAGAACAGTCACGTACTGCCTGGAGTGCTGTAAGCTAGAAGTCCCATTGGAGCTAAAATCTGCCTTCCAACAGTTCCGTATTTTATGCCGAGATGGAATTCACACACAAGCATGCCTCTTGGCCTGGGCTGACTAACTCACACTCGGGCCTTGAGACATGCTTGAGCATGCAAGTGGTGGGAGGCAATCCAGTCAACAGCCTTCTGCATGTGCTTCAGCCCAGATATCTACTTGGCTTCCTAGTAGCTACAAAGACAATAGATTCATGTTCTAAATACAAATGGGCAAAAAGAAAAGCATGAGATTGTATCAGCCGAGTTGCATCTCCATCCTTTTGCTTCAGAAACCGTTTATCTCACTGGATTGGTTTTCTTTTCCCTACTGGCATGTTTTGAAAGACGAATCAATTAATTTAGTCATTTCTACAAAACCAAAGAGGCCTGTGGAGGAGGCTGGCACTCCTGTGGCAGGTAACCCCTCCTCCATTGCCCTTGGCAACAAGACAAGGCTAATATTTTCCCAAGGAGGGCCTTTGCATCAAATGATCTTTCCAGCCTGTAGACTACAAGCTGCCCCTCAGTCTTTTTCCATAGAGAGGACATTCTCCCTCCACCCTCAGAACAAGCAGGTCTTTTGTAAGAGAGGGAAAAGATTGCCACGTACTACTTGTTACCTTACAGCCTTTGAGCCCACCCCCAGGTGCTAACTTTAAGACACAGCTTCACCACAGACCTATGTCCCGACAGAACAGCTCTCACCCACAGCTTGAAGAGTTTTTTTCTGGGAGAAAGAAAGCCACTTTCTTTCTAGAACCCAATAAATGCCAAATAGGTGCCACCATAGCCAAAGATGTTTTATGAAACCCAGTGTCCCGGGGCAGGAATCCAGCCAGGTCTGACTGTGATGAGGCCAAGACTTCATCTCCCATTTCCCCATTGAGTAGTGAATGCTGGGTTCCACATCAATTTAGATATTTATAATTGTAGTTACTGAGTCTCACTTGTCTGACTCCATACCTTCAAAATAGTACTCGAGGACTAGGAGGAGCTTTAACTTTGTATTCACTGATCAATAGATGTATATTGAATGAGAAAACATGGAATAAATCTTATGGCAGAAAAGTATCTGTTTGGAAATTCACTTAAACTAAAAAGGCATGTCCACTTGCTTCAACAATTCCAGAGAGGGCTTCAAAAGATAATCTTCAAATGATTTTTTAAAATTACTCCCAGGCTAGAGAGATGGCTCAGCAGTTAAGAACACTGGTTGTTGTTCCAGAAGACCCGAGTTTGAATCCCAGCACCCACATGGCAGCTAATGACTGTCCGTAACTTCAGTTCCAGGGGATCCGACAGCTTCTTCTGTCCTCCACAGCACTGCACGGCATGGGTGCACTTATCTACATGCAGGCAATACATGCATACATGTGAAAATAATAAATAAATAAACGTTTTTAAAATAAATAAATAAAAATTAAAATTACTCCCATAAATCATAATTTTATTTTTAAAAGTTTTTTATAGCTTGTTTGATTGCTTGCTTAAGATAGGGCATCATGTTGCCCAGACTAACCTCAAACTCAAGGCTGACCTTGAACTGTTAATACTCCTGCCTTTACCTCTCAAGTGCTGGGATTGCAGACCTGTGCCACATCACCCAGCTCACAAATCATAATCCTGATGAGTAAAAAACAGCTCTAGCACTGAATAGATTCATACTGATGCATCTAGTTAATTCATGTAAAAAATTCTAGTGAAATTAGCATGCTCATATTCAAACTCCATCATAAAGGAAGAAAGCAGGAGCGTGACAGAATGATTTGTCTTCAATCTGTTTCTTGTGTCTCTAAGTGAGTCAGAAAATTCAATCCTTCTGGTATCTAATCCAATTATTCCACCAGAGAGAGAGAGCTTAATCTGAAAATGAGTGCTGACTAAATGCATACTGACAGTGACACTGGAATACAGCCCATTGAGCCTCCAAGGGTAGAGCTGCGCCAGCTTCTCAGGAGAACAAGAAGGGCTCTGTTCAATCAAGAGATGTAAAGCTAAGGAAAATATCAGGAGAGGCAGGGAGAATGTGGTGGTGGGAAGAGGGAACTAGAGAGGTGTCTTGAGTTTTGGTGTTTGGGAGTTTGGGGTTTTATTTCAGATCCCATCAGGGAACAGCAGGATTATTTATCCTGGTTATTTTCAGAACTTCACATTTCTAATGCAAACATGAAGGTTTTATGAGCAAACCGAGTTATATATAATGCAGCTTTATATTTCTAAACCAATACCATGTGTTTGGGTTGGTAAAAGACACCAAAAAGACATTGCACATATTTAAGTTTTCCATAAAATTTCCACCAAAAAAATTTAATAAACTTCTTTTCAGGGACCTAGAGAGATGATTCAATGGTTAAGAGCATTTGCTGCTCTTGCAGAAGACCTAAGTTTGGTTCCTGGCACCCATATGGGGTGGTTCACAGCTGCTAGAACTTCAGCTACAGCCTCAGCCAGCACTCCCACTCATATGCACACGCACACACACACGCACACACGCACACATTCATGCACACAATTTAAAATAAAATAAAGCCTTTAAAAAAAAGTGACCAGGTTTGGTTTCCAGCACTCACATGACAGCTAACAACTGTTCATATATATCCTGAGTATCTGATACCCTCTTCTAGTCTCCATGAGCATCACACAACATGGGTTGCACTTACATACATGTGAGCAAGACACTCATATACATAAAAAATAAATAATAAATAAAACAATTTTCCAGGTACATTGTGTGTGACCATAACATCCTTGCTAGTCGGAAGCAAAGACTTATCAACTTACCACAGAAGGTTTCCTGGAATCTGGAAGAGAGCCTCTCAATGACCCCATAGGTTTCCACATAGAACACGTGCTCCTCCAGGGGCTCGCTGGCCATCGTCTTCAAAGATTCCATGTCTGCCCGGTCCACACCCACAGCGTATAGCTCAATGCCAGATGCCCGGGCCTGTGCAGCCACTTCATCCACCTGGTCCTGGGGCCTCCCATCTGTCACAATGATAGCCACCTTGGGGATGCTGGATGTGGGTCCCCGAGCTCCCGCCTCCACAGTGAAGGCTTCCTCTATCGCTGTCTGGATAGCCAGACCTGACATGGTGCCTGTTGACAAGGGTGTGATCCGTGCCACAGCCTGTTTCAGGGCCTGCTTCTCTGAATATGTGTTGAGCTGGAATTCAATCTTCACGGTGCTGGCATAGTTCACCAAAGCCACCCTCGTGTCAGCAGCCCCAATGTCCAGAGTATCAATGATTCGGGAGACAAAGGTTTTCACTTTGGTGAATTCTAATGGCCGTACACTACGAGAACTGTCAATGATAAACACCAAGTCCAAAGGCCTGCTCTTACAAACACCTGCAAAGAGTATGGGGAAAAGAAAAGGCCAAGAAATGGTCAGACCATGACCAGAAATGAAACAATCCTCCCTCCCATGAAACTCTGAGATTCTGGGAAGCCAGGCCCAGCACTACCACTGCCTGTTTCCTTCCTGAAGACCATCTTCCCTCTGGGTGCTGAAAAAACCCAAGCTTTCAGAATCCTCCAGTGAAAATTCACATGGATGCGCAAGTCTTCCCCAAATATTCACCTATAGGGTATCTGAGGCCCAAATTTTGCTTGGAGACATCCCACTGTTAAAAGTTTTGTTCCCAAGTTTCCTTGTAACTCCTAACAGTGGCTGGATCCCAGTCCTTTCTTGGCATTTGGCTATCTGAGGCACTGGGGCGATCACTTAATCAGACATATATGTCTATTGTACTTCCATCTTTGTGAAAATTTCTTCTTGTTTAAAGGAGCAGAGACCATGATCTGATACCTCTCCTACTTCTCCAAACTCTCTTGGCCACGTCTCTTTCATTTATTCACTTGTAGATTTTTTGAAGGCCTATATGCACGCAAATATGGCAAATAAGCAGATTCCCCACCCTCCAAGCACATCCTTTCTGCACAAAAGCACCCAGTGCACTCCAGTAACCCAACATATTTCAGTTGCCATTTATTCCTTCCTAGTCTTTCCTGTTTCTTCCAACCTAATTTGCCCACCCATCTCTCAGCCACTAAAATCAAGTCCATTGTCTGGACTAATAGGTAGAGAAACCAGTTATTACATTTCTTCAAGCCATTTTCTTCTTTCAAGCATGCATACATATACATGTATCACACACATGCACACACACACACATGCACACACACACACACACACACATACACACAATATGTGCACAATACAGCCCTAAGGAAATGAAGGCCTTGGGAGGCATCTGTCAGGGTTTCTTCTTTCCTAATAAAAGAACAGACCTTGCTGCTATTTTCTCAGTTAGGGAAAGGTAGATTAAAAGCACATCCTTAGCTGGGAGTGGTGGTGCCTGTTATAATTGCAGCACTTGGGAGGTTACAGAGGAAGAAAGAAAGTTCAAGACCAGCCTAGGATATATAGTGAGATGCTATCAGAAAAGCAAGTGAAATTAATTTTTTAAAAAAGTATTAGACTAAGTCTAAAGGCTTTGTCTGGATGGAACACTGATTTTTACCTCTGTGTAGTTGTTGGGGTTTGTGAAGTTTTTGTTGTTTTATTTCAGAACCATGTGCATGCTAGACAAGTTCTCTGCCACTGAGCTACATCTCCAATCCTGCAGTTTTATTTGTTTGTTTGTTTGTTTGTTTGTTTGTTTGAGACAGAGTCTCACTGTAGCCGAGGTTGGCCTCAAACTCACTACATAGCCAAGGATGGCCTTAAATTCAATATCCTTCAACCTCTATCTCCCAAGTACTTACTAGGATTACAGGCATGGACTACCACACGCAGTCCTTCAGTTTTGTTTTCAAAAAGCTGAATTTTATCCTCTTGATTTTATCTCAGCGCCTGGAAGTATTTATTAGGAAAATAACATTTTACTTTGAAAGGCACTGTAGGATACCAACACATGGATCCTGTGACTAGGAAGTAGGTTTGTTTGTCTGTTTTAAGATAGGGTCTCACTGTGTAGGCCTGACTGACCTGGAGCTTGCTTGAACTCACTGCCTATGCCTCACAAGTGCTATCACCATACCCTGCCAGAAGTTCCTTTTGTACCCATATGGCAGATGAGACACCTGAGATTCAGGAGGATCAAGAACTGAAAAGCCGTGGAGTTTGCTTGGCCTCCAGGAATCCTGTCTCCCAAGCTCCGGGGCCTTTCTAGTACATAGCTCCTCCTGCTGAGGCAACGTTTTCCACCAGGAAAAATCAACATTATTTCATGTGCCCAGCAAACGTCCTGCATATTGACTTTGAGCCACCACCCAAAATATGTCATATGTCATATATTTGGTTAAGTAGAAAGGAATTACAATCTCTCTCTTTTAAACACCTCCACAATTTTCTTTGAGATTCCTGAAGAGCAAAACCAGGGAAGAGGAATTATGTCAAAAATCCTACCTGGATGTGGGGGATTTTATGTATTTTTGTATGACTTGAATAAAGGAAAAAAGATCTTGGCACATGCCCTGTAACTGAATGCTTACACTAAACCCACGTGCTGTCCTTACAAATCATGTTATGTCCCTATAACTAAACATGCCTGATTCGGTCCTTCTCCACTTAGTCATTTACACTGAATCCTCTATTGGGGGAGTGGGAACTATGAGGTGTGATATGAAGAATACCCCCCTCAGATGTTCTGGTCCTGATACTAGGAACTTTCATATATGCTCCTAACTACGACAAGAGACTAAGATGTGAGATAGGCTCAATCTGCTGTTGCTGGCTTTGAAGAGGGACATGAGCCAAGGACTGTAGCATCCTCTAAGAAGCTGGAAAGGCCTGCAACTACTTCTCCCTGTGCCTCCCAAAGGGATAGAGAAGAAACCCTGTCAAACACTTTGATATTGGCCCAGAAGAGCAGCAGCAGCAACCTCTGACCTACAGAACTCTGAGACAATGCCATGTGTTGTTTTAAGCTTCTAAATTCATTGTCATCTATTACAGCAATAGAAAATTCATACAGGTGAGGCCACAATTAATTCCACGATCATGCAGCTCCTTTCTGATTCCTACTCCCCTGGCAAGGGCACCATTTTCTAATCTTACTCCCACATACTAGATAGATGGCAGTGATTTTATTCTCAAGAACAAAGAAAGTGAGGTTGGGGTGCTCAGTTTCTTGAGTATTATGTAGCAGGCATAAAGCCCTGGGTTCAATCCCCAGCTCTACATAAACCAGGCATGGTGGCACATGTTTATACCTGTAATCCTAGTACTAGAAGGTAGAAGCAAGAGAATGAGAAGTTCAAGGTCAACTACATGAAGTTCATCCTCAACTACATGTGAAGTTTGAAACCAGCCTGGGCTACATGAGACCCTGTGAAGGAGGGAGGGAGGGAGGGAGGGAGGGAGGGAGGGAGAGAAAGGAAGGAGAAAGAAGGAAGGAAGGAAGGAAGGAAGGAAGGAAGGAAGGAAGGAAGGAAGGAAGGAGAAGAGGGAGGGAAGGAGGAAGGTAGGGAAGGAAAGTGAAAAAAAAAGTGAACAGTCACCTAGATTTCTAGAATGTTGCCAGCCTTTGATAATCTCATCAGAACTAAAAGCCCATAGTAAACTAAGTGATTCCCTGTTGCTAAAGGGAAAATTTGGGGGAGTAGAATGTGCTATCAAGGGATTGCCAAGATCAGGTTTGGATGCCAGTCTGTAAAGGAACATGGTCACCTGGTGTAGAATCTAGCTTCCCTCTCTCAGTCTCATCTCCCAGAGAGGCTGGTGAATAGAAGTGAGTTCACTTCCAGAAAAGAGGCTTTTCCCCCATTCCTATCCTGAAGCAACCAGTTGGCTGGATTTAACCCCTGTGAGCCCTGATCCCTCCCACCTCAGTCGTGGCAAAACTCTGGCCATTCCAAATTTGGAATTTCAAATCATGAATGAATGATAGAAGAATTTCTTGAGCTGATTCTTAATATATCCAGCTAGTCACAGGAGGGGATAGACGATGCAAATCAGTCTGACACAGCATCACTGGTCAGGTAAGATGGGACATCTAGAACACGGTTCGCAGAAGCCTCTTTCAAGCAAAACTGGGACTGGAATTTTTGAAAATGAATAAAAAAAACCTTATATAAGCCACAAGAAACATGAAGAGCTTGTCAGCCTGTAACAGTTGTGAAAGCCCTTGCTTAGCTTCTTGGGGCTCTGAGTTTCACTCTAGACCCTGATGCTGATTTGCTGGGTCCCTTCACATTGCTAAGCCTTGGATTCCCAGGATGTGCTGGGGTGGGGGTGGGGGTCAGGTCAGATGCCTGTCAGTCTTATTCTAAGGAGCTTTGCTTTGCTTCAGGAACCAATTATTGGCCAGAAGGATAAATATAATTGATGGCCAAAGACTACACCTTGGGGCTTTGGAGATCTAAGAGTATAGGTTGGAGCACGGAACCAGAAAGACTCACACACTGAATCCAATACCAATGGAGAACTTCCAGAGACCCAAACTCTACTGAACCAGGAGATCAGGGCCAAGCAGATCTGAAAGGCTGCCATGCGGCACTCCTACAGGTGCCCTGTGCTCCTTACCCAAATCACAGGGCTGTTTGAGCTTCAGGAGACCCAGATGCTAGCACGGATAAACGCAAGGCCTCAGACACCGCCCACTCCCACCCCCCACCCCACCACCTCCCGCTTAACTGTCCTGCCCTCAGTTGTAGGGTAAGGTTGCTGGGAGAAGGATGCTTCTTCCGCACCTCGCCTAAGATGCAGGAACTTTTGGTGGATGCAGGACGCTCAGCTCCGCGTCCCCGCTCCATCCTCCCACCTCCAGCCCAGGCTCCCGCTCCTCCAGAGGAGCCTGTCCCTTGGGCTGAGCTCTGTCTCCCGCCCGCCCCACTGTACCTGCGCCGCGGGCTGGGCTGGAATCACTGCTGGGAGAGGGGCGGCGCCCAGGTCTGCCCCCAGGGCCACGGATCCCAAGCCTCTGGACGCTCGCGCCAGCCAACGGACCAGGGGCGGTGGGGGGCGGCAGCAACAGCAACGGCCAGAGCAGGAGCAGGAGTCCCGGGAGGTGGCGCGTGGGAACTGGGCGCGACATGATGGGCTCGGCGGACCTGCCGGGGTCTGTGGGTCGCGAGGTGGCCGAAGCTCTCGGGGTCAGGCATCGGCCTGGGTACCAGCAGAGGCTGCCGATTTAAAGATCCCGCTCCTGCGGCTCCGCCCCATCCCGCCCCCAGGTGGCCAGCGCCAGGCCCGCCGAGACCCACCCAAGGCCAACAAGAAGTGGTGTCTGCGCATTCCAGTGGCAGGAGAGGAATGTCTGGGGCGAGGCGGCCAGCAGCTGCAGTGGTCACCGTTCACCCCGGCCGGGTGGGCTCGGCCGGGTGCCTCCTGGCCTGCTGCCTCCTTGTAAAACCCATCTCAGCCGAGGGGCGCCTTGGGAGAGCCTCAGCCTGCTCGACCCTCCTGTGCCAGCCAGGTCTGTGCTCTAGGGTCTCAGCTGAGGAACCCTGAGTTCTCTCTGCCTGCCGCATCATGAGTCCGCTTCCAGATGGAACTGCTCACACAACACACCTTTGTCCAGCCAAGTATCCCAAATTTTGCTTGAAGTCATCTTTTTTAGAAAGAAAAGGCCTCAGAGATTCTAGTGCATGAATAGAAAACTTTCATCCCAGTTTCAAACATTCGTAAACATTTGAACTTATATTCCCAGGAATAGGAAATCAAACATATGTTTCTCTCAGTGGGCCTCTTGTTAACTAGAAGAACAGCCTGTACCTAACTAAAGACTTCAAAAAGCTCTTCTGCATCCCACTTCCTCCCTGGAACAGTGACCCCACAGGCAGCACAGGGCTGGAGACTGCCTAGGAGACCCCACACTCACAGTGGGACAGAAGATGCACAAATGATGTACTGTCTAAGGGAACGTGGTGGATTAGATTAGAGACCTTTGTGGAGTAGGTTTCTAAAAGCCAGGGTGGCTGGTCTAAGTCTTCAAACAGGCCACTGAGCATGAGTTCCAACAGATAAAATGCAGTCTTTCTGTTGACACTGTTGCCGTCTGTGGTGGTTTGAATAAGTGTCCCGCAGAGGCTCAAGTACTTGAACTGGTCAGTGGCAGAGCTGTTTGGGAAAAATCATGGTGGTGCAGCCTTGCTGAAGGAAGCATGTCACTGGGCTCCGGCTTTGGGAGTTCATAGCCTTATCCCACTTCACCTTCTCGGCTTAGTGTTTGTGGATGAAGATGGGAGCTCTCTGCATTTGGCTTCTGACACCATGTCTGCTTGCTGCCATTTTTGTAAAACCATGATGGACTCTTCTCTTTTACATCTCCTAGGCACCAGTCAAGGACTTTCTTTTCTCCCTACACTTAAGAGTTATGCAATTTGGGAGTCTTTTAGATAGACCCGCTGAAGGGGTACCCCAATTGCCTCACACTGCATCTCTGTTCAGCATGGAAGAAGCCAGAGCAGTCTGTGTCCCTAAACTATCGGCAATTTGGGTAACCTCTTCAGAGGATGGTGTGATAAGAATAGGAGATAGGAATTGGCTAGGCAATCATGGTAAAAAGACCCCAAAGAAAAGTAGCCAGTTTCTTGGAGAAAAATCAAAATGTCCTTGGGCTTCTTGGCAACATACTCTGTTCCAAAGGCCAAAAACACCAAAAGTATTTGGGAGCTCTTATCTAATCCCCCCAAAATTTTAGGGTTACTTCTTCAGAGGAGGGAATGTTAAGAGTAGCAAAAACCCCTATTTAAAAAAAAAAGAGTACATGAAGTTGTCAGGAAAAAGGGATGGGGAAATACAGGAGGAGTTGGATGGGAGGGAGTGGGTGTAGATTTGGTCAAAACACCTAATATGCACGTATGAAATTCTCAATAAATTTTTTAAAATTAAAAAAGGACAAAAAAATCCATATTCGCTAAAGCAATCTACAAATTAATGCAAATCCCATTAAAATTGTCAATGACATTAAATGACAGTAGGAAAACAATCCTAGAATTTGTACCTAATCACAGAAGACATCAAGTAGTTAAAGAAATCTTGAAAAATAAAGAACAGTGCTTGAATCAAAAAAAAAAAAAAAATCCCCATGGTGGACTCTTAACCCTCTGGAACCATAGCCAAAATAAACTCTTCCTTTTATAAGTTGCTTTGGCCATGGTATCTTATCACAGCAACAGAAAAGTAACTAATAACACCCCTCTATAATCCATCTACATGGTAACCTGAAAATCACTTCTATTTGTAGAGCATGTCCTTAACAGATTATATACAACAGCCAAGAAGTGGAAGCAGCCGAGTGGCCTCTGGACAAAAAGATAAACAAAAGATGCTAACTACATACAACAGAATACTAGTAAGTCTTAAAAAAAAAAATTCTAACACACATTACAACATGAACAAACCTTGAGGACATGTTGCTAAGTGAAATCAACCAGTCACAGAAAGGCAAATTTGGAATGATTCTATTTGTGTGAGATATCTAGGGTAGTCAAAGGCTGTTTGAATGGAAACAGGAAGTAGAATGATAGGTCCCAAGAGATAGGGAGGTAAGCAGTGGAGGTATTTAATGGGTGTAGGATTTCATTTTTGCGAGAAAAAACGTTCTGGAGTCCAAACAACAGCACGAACACTCGGCTATGATTTGAATGTGTTCAAGTGTTGGAAACAATCCTCAAAGTCCAGTGTTTGAGGTGGAGAATCTGGGAAGCAATTTTGCTTAGAGGAGGTTGTGAAGGGGAGAAATCACAATGGCATTAGTGGCTTTTTAAGGAGTGTCGGATTGGGGAGATCGCTAGATGGGAGGAGTGCTTGCTATGTAAGCATGATAATCTGACTTTGGATCCCCAGAATCCACATAAAGCTGGGTACAGTAGGGCGCATCTGTAATTCCTACAGCAAGATGCACCCCCAAACAATAGAGACCTGTCTCAAACAAGGTGAAAGGCAAGGACTGGAAGCTGAGGTTGTCTTTTTGCCTCCACACACATACTGTGACAAACATATACCTGTTCTCACACACGTGAACACACACACACACAAAGAAAAAAAAGAAGTATCCAGAAATGTAGCTCAGTTAATAGAGTATTTGTCTAGCATGCATGAAACCCTACGTTTGATCCCCAGTACCATATAAACCAGATGGGGTCATGTATGTCTGTAATTCCATCACTTGTAAAGGTAGGAGGATCAGAAGTTGAAGGTCATCCTCTGCTATGTAGCAAATTTGAGGGTGGCCTGGACCACATGAGACTCTCTCTGAAAAGGGGGGGGGTAGAAAATGAAAAGAGACCCAGGTGATGCCCTCTTGAGCGTAGGCACCAGGAACACAAAGTTAGTGCCTGGTTTGTTCACTGCTTAACTTCTAGAAAGTGAACCTTATTACATGAAGGCTCACAGTCAAAGATAGGCCATCAATGTCAGAAAATGCAAGCTCCTGGAACAAGGCTGGTGTTTAGATTTACCATGGTAAGGTAGGATGTTTGCAGAAGAAACTGCCTAGAGCTGCTTTTTCCAAGAGGAAAAACTTTGCTACATTCCATTTCACTACCTGGCAACAGACTACTCTGTACTAAGTACCAGCTCCACATTGTAGCCATCCTTGGCTTTCTGCAACAGGGTATTGGTTCCTCAGCCACCACCAGGCTAAAGCAGCATCAAGAGCATGGTTGATGCTCCAGGCTAAAGCAGCATCAAGAGTGATGGTCTGGGTCTGGAAAGATGGCTCAGCAGTTAAAAGCACTGGATGCTCTTACAGAAACCCGGGTTCGGTTCCCAACACCTACCTGGTGGTTAACAACCACTCATAACTCTGGTTCCAGGAGAATCCAACAACACCCTCTTCTGGCCTCCTTGGGCTTTGCATGACATGGGTGCACTTACATAGATGCAGGCAATACACTCATACACACACACACACACACACACACGTAATAAATAATTTTAAAAAAAAGAGTAATAGCAGGGCATGGTGGCACACGCCTTTAATCCCAGCACTCAGGAGGCAGAGGCAGGTGGATCTCTGTGAGTTCAAGGCCACCCTGGTCTACATAGTGAGTTCCAGGACAGCTGGGGCTACAGGGAGACCCTGTGTCAAAAAGATAAAAAAAAAGAGCAATAGTCCGTTTCAGGATATTGGCCTGTGAACATCTTGAATAATTAAAATTAGTTATCCAAAGCTAAGGAATAAATTACACATAGCTTTTCTTTAGAAGCATTTCACTTTAGGGGCTGGAGAGATGGCTCAGCAGTTAAAAACACTGGTTGTTCTTGCAGAAGACTGGGTTCGAATCCAAACACCCACATGGCAGCTAATAACTGTTTGTAATTCCAGTCCCAGGGGATCCAACAGCCTCTTTTGACCTCCGCGGGCATTGCATGACACGGGTACACTTACCTATATGTAGGTAATACATGCATACACATAAAAATAATAAATTTTAAAAAATTTAAGTATTTTACTTTAACGTTGCTATATTAACTCTGGCTAGGTCAGGCAGTAGTAACTAATGCCCTCCAAGCTCAGGGTCTTATAACAAGCATCCGTTTCTTGTCCTTCAGGTGTCTTTGGATTGGCTACAGTTCTTCCCACCTTTTCTGGCACCCACGTACAAGGAACAGCCCCAATCTGAGATGGTGGTCTCATGGTAAAGGAAAGGAAAAAGATATGCTGAACAGGAAGACGGATGTGCAAGACAGAGTGGCCAGTCACTTTCACTCCCATGTTTTTGGCCAAAGAACATCACATGACCTGATGTTCATGCGCAAGGACTATAAACCTTTTACCAGAGGGAAAGTAATTCTTTAAAAACTGCAACATGAGCCGGGCATGGTGGCGCAAGCCTGTAGTCCCAGGACTTGGGAGACAGAGGCAGGCAGATCTCTGTGAGTTCAAGGCCAGCCTGGTCTACATAGTGAGTTCCAGGACAGCTGGGGCTACAGGGAGACCCTGTCTCAAAAAGACCAAAAGAAAAAAACCTGCAACATGATCTGGCACAATTTATTTATACACCATGTATGGTGAATGGCTTTGGACAGAGACCCCTAAAGTCCCCTCTCCTAAAACATTTAGTAGAAACCTTCAGTCTCTGAATCCAGAGTAGCTTTTCATCATCCTTGGTCTGTTCTGATCCTAGCCACTGCTTAACAGCTTTTCAGCTTCATGGGCTTATAGTCTTGTTTCTGCCT